AAGAAATTTTTGGGTTTTGAAGTGATGATTCATCAGTTTTGGACTGTAGAAACTGATGTCTATAATTTATACAAAATCTATTAAAAATAAGCAGTAAAGGCCCTTTGTACTGTCAGATCAGTGGATTGAATAAAGTGCAAGGAAAGGAGACGGATACCTGCCCTCCCTCCAGCAGCATAGGTGTAGACAGCAAATATGCAAATTTCCCTGCAGCCATAAACCTGGAGCTGCCTCCTCTGCAGTTCCATGTCAGCAAGGTCAGGACCTGCCCAGCAGAGCAGAGGGAATCCTGTTTCCTTGTCACATGCCCAGGAAATCCCAGCGTGACAGTTTGGATATGGAGCCTTCACCCAGAATTGCTGTGCTACAGCCTCCAGCTTGCTCCTGAAGGCTGCCACGCACTTGTCACGGGCTGTACAGCCATTAATGCAGGCTGAACGTTCAACCCTGGTGAAAATCTCAGAATGCCATTAGTGTGCTGTCCCCTATCACTTGTTCCTGCTCAGCCACTGCCCATGGTTTAGATTACATCTAATACCAGCAGACAAGCAGGACGTGTCCGTGTGCCATCAGAGTCATCAGCCACGTTTGTGATCAACGTCACCCCAGCAGACGCCGACGTCAGGGAAAGCAGGTCCTGGTGAGCGCTTTTAAAAGGCCTGGCATCATTCCCCAAACTGGTTCTCCATGAATAGACTTGGGTGTCTGCCAGGGGCTTCACTTGCACACAGCCAGATGCAGGGGGGTCTGGATATCAGCCCTCCAACCAGGACCCTTCTATTCCCACAGCTCAGTCCCACTATCTGTTCATTTTACTTTTAATTTACATTCTTCCCCCCCATATTCTTTTTTATTCATTCTTGCATCACCCTTTTCCCTCTGTCCTCACATCAGCCACCCTCTGCATTACAAAAGTTCCCTACATTTTTAGCTATGAGCAAAAAGCATTAAAAATGCAATATTTGGACAACATAAAATCCTAATAATCCTGTTTCTACATGCTTTGACTTCTGCCTCTGCTGGAGGCATCACTTGTCCTGCCTACAGCTGAACCAAGAATAAATGTGGGGGAAACACAGTGCATGTTCTAGTATTTGTAAATTATTAGACTTCTGAGGTTATGTAATAATTTTTATCTCCTTTTTTAAATTTATTTTCTTAGCAGTCAGTGATACCAGAAATGCAGAGATCAAGAGACTGATATTATGTACTAGCTAAACCTTACTGTAAGAACTTAATAGCCTTCCAGTGTATAAGGCTTCAGCACACTAAAACAGGGGTCATGTAGCAGGAACTCAGTGAAGACTCACAAGTCGCTGTCATATGCTGTGTAAATACTTAATATGCATATGTTTCATTTTGTCAGTCCTGTAAATTAACTTTTTATCTGGTGATTCAATTCTCTTATCATCCCCAGCTTGTTTACTGAATTTTAAGTCTTGGGCAAGATGAAGCAAGCTCATGAGGAGTTGCTGGTTTTCAAAAGATACAAGCTCCAGATAACCGAGGACAAGTAAGGCACACAACAATATTGAAATCACTCAGAGTTTTATTGCAGCTGACTGAGACAGAGTGTGCTTTGAGGCTGGGAAATTTCCATTACTGAACTGCAGGACAGTGCCTGGATACTGCTACTACTGCAGTTGAAAAATAAAAGCAACTTAATTTTATATAGACAGCAACAAAATGTCAGTATATTAATTAAAATAGCTAGATTTATATGGTAAGCTTTTAAGGTTTCTGTAAAATGGATCCCTTTAAAAATATTTAGAGTATGATTGTAAACTACTTGTTCAAAACTAAGGAACATAAAAATGACTTGAAATTGCAACTGTGTTTTCAAACCATATTTGTGAACAGCAAAACTAACCAGAACATGATGGATAATACAAGACATCTCCTACAACAGTGACAGGTTCTGACAGTGACAGAATGATGCTCAGTGCAGGATCAAGGCTGTTACTGTCAGAATCATTCTGCAATTAATAATCTTTTGTGCTCCCCTTGGCATGCACAGAACAACCACAGCAATCTGTTTTCTCATCTTAACTCCATGGTGTCTAAGCCACAGTAAGCTCCATGCAAAGTCCATCAGAATGTGGAAAAAAGGAAATACTGGGGGGAAAAGTAAATTTGTTCTGGCACCAAGTGCCCAGCAGTTTAGATGAGAGATTGTTTTTAACCTCCCAGCAGTGCAAGATTACAGCAAGAGCCTCATTTTCGTTAAGGTCACCTAATGCTGCCAAAGCAGTGGTCAACATTCTCATGAGGATCAGTCTCAAGGGATTTCTGATGTGTGTCTCCTGTTCAGTCAAGCCCAGGTAGGTACTGACTACAAGTTATTACCAGCTGCTGCTCTTTCTGAATCTTAGGATTGTTCCCTGTGGATCAGAGCTCATATTTAAGCAATTTCAGAAACCATCACCATGGTTCCTGAGTGCCTTACAAGTTAAAATATATCTTTATAAAACATTTTAACATGTCTTATTTCTCTCTCTCATCACCCCCGCACAAAGGCTTGAGGTCTTTTGAAACAATTCTGGTAAAACTGTTTGTACTTAATGCCCATGCTTGGTTGGGATGATGGGGAGCTTCAGGTTCATGCTGACATACTGGTACAGCAGCTACCAGGAAAGCCATGACTGCAATGTCCCACGCAAATCACACAACTGGTATAATTATGATGCTTTTAGGAGATGTGGCTTCAGTTTTAAATTAGCACAAAGATCTGAGATGCCTCCCACCCCCACTATGGAGGGGCACCATAGGGCAGCTCCATGGTGTTTGTCCTCAGCCTGACCCGGCACTGCTGATCCCAGGGCCCAGGGGCCTTGTGGTACAATGTTCCCTTTTCAAGAGACCAATTTACAGAACAAGAATTAACAGTTAAAGCAGAAACGAGCAACAGTGCAGGGAATTTCTAGATCCTGATTGTAGGATGAACTCATTCATGTGACTCCTGAACTTGACTGAAGATGGAGACAGTCCAAACCATGACGTATTTACATGACTTAGCTTATGGCTTAGCTTTTCCTTAATATTCCTGTTTCTGCTTACACAAACTCTTCTCAGCACTGCTTTGATTTCTTTTTGAAATAAAAAGGTTTTTTCCTTCTGCTTCTCATTACCTGGTATAATTTTTTAATATCACCTCTTCTCCCCCAACACAGCCCTTTATTTTGATCATGGAACTCATAATTTTCTCAAAATACATTTACGTACTTTCCAGAATTGAGCCTTTAATGTCACTTTGTTAAGGCAAAAGACCCAACATTAAGTGCAGGTAATGGCAGTGTATTTAAGTAGGCTGAAAACTGATTGATACCACTCCCATCCACTCTGCCTATCTCAGCAACTGCAGAGCTTCACTGAAATACTGCACCGAGTTCTGTCATGGGAGGAGTTGTTGGGAGAGCATGCCACAGCCTCTGACCACTTATTTGGGCTTAATTGGATTAGACATATATTTGAACACAGTGCTCAAAGGAGCTGACAGTCCTTCCACAATTTCCTGGCCTGCCTGGTCGGTTTCCTTTTTGATCAGATGCTTCCCAGTGAAGGTAGAAAATAATCTAGATACACACCAGTTTTTAATTAAATTTGATATGACAGGCTGTGTTTAAGCTACATTCTCCATAATAATTTGTTTTGCATTTGCTGATGACAGATTTATTTATGTATGTAATCAGAACTGTAAGCAAATTTTCATTTTTAAAGAACCTTTAAAATAATATTTCACTTGGCTTTAGAAAATTTAAATGCTCACATTTACTGCTGACTGAAATTTCTGAGAATAATGCTGTGTTTCTGAAGTGCAGAACACATCATGAAACAAAAACCGTTATACACACATAAAAATTAATACATCAGAAGCATTATCCCACTCAAATACACAAAAGCACGAGCTGTAGAGTTGAATGCCTGTTAAATAGAGGGGAGTTTGTTAGATTTTGGTGCTCAGCCCTGACAGCTTTCCCTCCATCACCTGGACTGGGTGGCACCCGGAGCCTTGGGGACACCTGGGGGTGCAGCCAGAGCCGGGACTGCCCTCCCCACCCTGGGCAAAGCTGGCCCGGAGCCGGGGGGGAGCGAGGGGAACGAGGGGATCGCAGCGCTGGAAGCGGCTCCGGGACACTGAGAGGGTTCGGCCATGGCAGAGGAAGCAGAAGGGCCAGAAGAAGGTGGGATGCCAGAAATGACCTCGGGGAGAAGCAAGACATTGTAAGGGACATGGCTGGGGACAGCCTCCAGGCAGGGACATCAGATGAGAAGCAGCAGAGATGGTGGCAGTGAAAATGTCAGCAGTAACCAAAGATTAGTACTTTTTGTCAGGGTCATTAGAGAACTGCAGGAAAAAAGGCAGAAGTGGAGTTAAGATCCTTGTGCACAGACTCCTGCAAACAAGGAAAAGCTATTTTAGGAAAACTCTGCCTTGCAGAGAAACAGAGGAGGTACGGCATTGCTGCAAGCAGCGCTCAAACCGTGACAAACCTTCAGCTGAGATTTCACCTCCTCTACAGTTTATTTACATTTACACGGGAAGCAGCGAACAGGCAACCGTAATTACATGTAAAAGCAACATGCTAAAAAGAGTTTGCAAAACTGTGCGCTGAAGTCGGGGAGTGTCACAGATGAACTCGCCCTTATCGCGGTGCCCGAGCTCTGGGACCGGCGGGGCGCTGAGGGTGCGGGGGACGCTGAGGGCGCTGAGGCCGGGCCGGGCCCGGCTCCATTTCCCGCCCGTCACCTGACGCCTCTAATGGCGCCGCGCGGCCACGTGACCCGCCGCGCGCCCCACGTGACCCACGGCCGCCGCGCCCCCTCCCCAGCGGCTGCGGTTACCGCAGTCCCCGGCCCCGCCCCTGGCCCCGCCCCTGCCGCGCGTGGCCCCGCCCCGCGCCGCTCCCTGCGCGCGCGCCCTCGCCCCCCCCCGCTCCCCCCCCCTTCCAGCTCCCGGGCCGGGCGGTGCGCGCGCGCGCGGCCGGCGGCGCCTCCTCAGAGCGGCCGCGGCGGGTTCGGCGCTGACGGGGCCAACGGGCCGAGACCGGCGGAGCGGCCGGAGCGGGCGGCGCCTCTTCCTCCCTCCTCCTTCTCCTCCTTCTCCTCTCTCCTCCCTCCCGCATCCTCCTCCTCGCCCCCCGCCTCGCCCGCCTCCGCCCCCCCGCACGCAGGCACCGCGGTTCCCGGCACGGACAACATGGCGGCGGTGTCGGGGGCTGGGGCTGCGGGCGGCTCCGCCAGCGCCGGCGGCCCGGAGATGGTGCGGGGACAAGTGTTCGACGTGGGGCCGCGCTACACCAACCTCTCCTACATCGGCGAGGGGGCCTACGGCATGGTGTGGTGAGTGCGGCCGCCGGGGCAGCGCCCTTGCCCCGGACAACTCCCTCCTCCCTTCCCTCCCTCCTTCCCGCCGCCCTGCCCGGCCGCGGGCCCGGCCCGCCCTTGCCCTCGGGGAGGGGGAGCAGCTCCGTCTCGCTCTCCTCAGCTCTGTCTCCCCCTCCGTGTTCCCGAGGTTGTCTCTCCGGCATCACCCTTCTTTCCTCTCCCTCCCTGCACCCCCCCCCATCCCTCCGTCGGTGGGTGCAGCTGAGCGTCTCGTTTCGTTTCGCTCCTGCCTTTATTTTCTTTAAATCTTTAAATGTGCATGTGGAGTTGGTCGCTCTCGTTATTTCCCCCGTCTCCGTAGTGCGATTGCAGAGGTTCAGGAAGGAGGGGAAGGTGGTAAATGCTGCTGGCAGCCCCGCGTCCCTTCCAGTGCCCTGCGAGGGCTCACCTGGCTGCAGCAGCCCGAGGTCGTGGGGGATAAAAAAGGTGAATCTGAGCACAGGAGTTGCTGCCGCTGCCTGACTTTGCTCAGGACGTGCTGGCTTTGCTGCAGAGCTGGCCGGGTTAGTGCCTGCGTTAACGTGGGCAGGTGAAAGTTCTCTTCGGCTGTCCTAGCTCTAAATTCTGTTGCATTATGAAGACTTAGTCTGAGTCTCGCTGAAAAGCGATCGTGTATGTTTGCTGTGGGTAACATCGGTCTTACAGAGCGCCGTGAACGAACTACAAAAACCGTGAACTAACTGGATTAAGTGTGTGAGATGGATTTTTTTAGCAGCCTCAGTGAGCTGGGGTGATGCTGTGTGATCTGTGTATCTAATGACTGAGTTATTAACCTGGTATGCTCAATGGCCTTACTTAAGATTTCATATTCTGTCTTCCATTAGTAAAAAAAAAACCTGTAGTCCTGAAAGAACTTAAGGGATGCAGATGAAAAACTCTTTTTTGTTGCGGTTTTATCAACTTTCTTGCAACACTGCCTCTGTTTCTTCAGTATGGTTTTTGACCAGAAGTACTAAAAGCGACTTACAGGCTGTGACTTTATGAAAGCTTTAGCAGCATTAATTTCTCTCTCTGATGAGGAATCTTTTGTAAAGCAGTGCATTTTTCAGTGAAGACACCTCACAGCCTTCAGCTGTGCGCTACAGATTTTTATAGCTGTAGGTTTTTGCACATAGTCACTGAATTGTGCTGGCCCGTCAGGATGAAGTCATTGTGTGTTTCAGGGAGGGAGCTTTCATCTAGGCCTGAGTTTAGCTGGGAGATGAGCCTCTCTCTCAGAGTTTTGTGTTGTGGCCTTCACTTTTTTTTTGCTGTGGGAAGAACCTTCAAAATGTAAATCAGAAATCCCGTTTCCAGTGTAAAAATATCCTTGTTATTGTTTCAGTGTTAGAAATCACAGCAATATATCTAGTCCAAAACTTGTTGATGTAGCTTCTGGTACAGGCTGTACTTTATTATGGTTATTTTATCATCTGAACCAGGGTAAGGAAATGAGTGCAGATAATCTCAGTAGTGGCTGCACTGGTTTGCATTCACAGTCAGGTTTTTGAAGGTCCTGGGGAATAGCATTGCTGAGGTGTGTGCTGGGGGCAGTCCAGTTCACTTCCACGGGGTGTTAAACACTGTGTTTCACAAACAAAGTGAAAAGCTAAAATGTTTCACCCCAGATCAGGGACTGCAAGAAGCAGCACGACGGCAGTTGATGCCCTTTTTTGGCATCCCTGTGCCAGTAAGCAGATACAGGGGAAACAGGGCCACTTCTGCCCCTCCAATTCATGTGTGGTAAACTTGTACACTGAAGCTGTTTCCACTCCAAATCCAAAAGGTTGGTTTTTATTTGAAAACTTCTTTTGATACTTTGTGTCTGCTGTGAATGCTGTACAAAAACACTATCAAAATTTCCAAATTTCCAGTTCACTTGAAATATGCACTTGGCTCCTCTGTTTTCTGCTATAAAATTATTAACATAAAATGCCACATTATGTATTTTGTGCTCTTGATTATTGCTCTTGTGCCTTGGGTGTGAAGTGACAGGGAACAAAGTCTCAGTTTATAGCGTGTACTTGATCAGGAAAGTGTTGGATGCACTTGCAGCAGCGCCATAGCAGCTGTGCTGTGTGGTGGTGCCTGCAATGAAATGTGATTGCCATCAATCCCAGCCGTGCAGGCTGTGCACTTCACTGCTCTGTGTTTTGCTCTGGTTGCTAATGCAGTGAGGATCTGCAGAAGCTTCTCCCTCAGGGGGTGGGGTAGAGGGCAAGCTGTGAGTGTGCAGATGGAGATGTTTCCTGCAACTGCAAAAGCCATTTAAATTTGTACATTTTATTAAAGGAAAGCAAAGCAGGCCCTGATGGTTTTGTTTAGACCCACAGCTAATGTGGGGCTCTTCAGAGATGATGGTTATTTACAAGTGCATTGTGCCAGAAGGCTTGTGACATGGCAAACGAGTGTCTTTTGACTCTTAAAATCCTTCACTCTCTTTCTCATTTTTATCCTAATTCTTATGTTTTTACATTATTGGATTAGGGATTTGAAAACAATAAAATGCTTTTGATTATATGAGTAAAAGGGCAAACGAAGTTTTCTTAGGATAGTGCTGTTATGGTCAGTCTTCCATTTTGATTTTGCAGCAGAGAGAATAATGTTTGAGAAATATTGATCACAACATAAAATACCAGTACAGGAAATAGAGGAAGATGTTGGCTGAAGAGACTGTACGTGAATGCTCTCTCATCTGGATTTGAAAACCCTTAAAGGCATTTAACTATTTTCCCTAGTGCAGTCATTTTTTTACATAATCAGATTTTGAGTAAAAATAAACTGAGCAGAGCAGTGTATTTACTGCAGTGTTGTGGTTGCACTTTCTCAGCTTGGTAAGCAGAAAATGCACATTATCAGGCCAAACCCATCCTAATGTCCTCCAGTTCAACTCTGCCAGAATCGTTCAGCCTGTGACACAGGCTTTTGCCTTTTGTTGCAGAGGGTGAAGTGGTAGGAGGTGGATCCCTGTCAGAGCCCCCTTCTAACCCGTTTTTGTTTTGGTCATTCTGCGTGTGAAACTAAGGGCTGAGCACAGAGCAAAGTTTGAGCCAAAATCCTCAGCACTTCCTAGGACTGCAGGACATTCTTTGAGCAATTACTTAGTCATCCAGCCATGTTTGTTACTCTGACTTAATTTATCCAAATATATGTAGATGTTGTGTTGTCTTCTTCCTCTCTGCTTTCACTTAAGAATTGTTAGTCCTTTTGAGGGGCATTGGGGTGAAGTTCTTTAAGTGACTTTCCCTTTCATTCAGTGATAGGATGTTATCAACATCAGTCAGATGGAACACAGTTTTAGACCAGGTCTGAGAGTTTCAGAAACACCTTTCAAACACAACAAATTGGGAAAGGTTGTTGAGGTTGTTTCTTTCTCTCCCTATGTGGGCTTGGTTTTATTAGTAGGATTGTTTTAAAGCAGCCTGTTAACAAGCAATACTTCAAACACACTGGAACAGCAATAAAAACATGATAGAGCTGAGCTTTACGTTTCCAGCATGACTTGTTCTTCCTCCAGTTGATCAGTGGTAATTTGGCAGGGATGATAATTTGATAGTAAAAAACAAATAATCATTTTGGAAAGAAATGGTGAATTGAATGTGATAGGGATGTTCTCATTTTTATCCTAGCTTTTGGAAGCTTTTTTTGTCATCAAGCTTCTATGAATGTGAAGTAATATCAGTGCTGCAAATAACTGCTTATAAATAAGCAGTTGAATGCAGATGAGTGCAGTTGGAAGAAAATAATCTGCAAGCTCAAATTTTAGATTTCTTGCTCTGAATTTGCTGCGTTACAAAGAGAGCTTTGTGTTACTGATGTGCTGTGAAAGACTGATATTAGAAGTTTAGGTAGTCAATAGTTAAATGCTAAATTAATACTGAAAAGAATACTTTAAACATTAGGCAGTAGATTCTTTAAAGTTACACTTCTTGTTACTGTTTCATGGAACTGCCCTACTTTTAGAGCATCAATAATTTAAAATGAAGAGAAGCATATTAATAAAGAAACTAAAAGCAGAAAGAAATCAGGAATAGAACGATCTGCAAGGCATAGATATTGATACTAAAACATGAAATTTGAATGGAATTGATGGTTGCATAATAGTTTCTTTTGAGTTACATAAAAAGGTGGATTTTGCATCCTTTGTGGGGGTCGGTGTGGTGGCTGGGGTGGGCTGCTCAGTGGCAGCCATCAGAAAGAGCCGTTCATGTTTGTTCTGTTAACTCTTCCTTGCTCCAGAGAGCCTTTAACGATGGAGCCAGTGCCGGGATCCGTGCCCCTGTTTGTGCGCACTTCTAGGGAGCGCAGGTTGGGTCTGCGTGTCAATACCTGGTAATTAACATCTTCTGTCTGTGTGATAAAGAGAGCAGGGAGCTGATACAACTGAGCCAACCCGGCCCAGTGCAAGGATCAGAGGAGGGAATTAGGGAGTGTAATTGGTGGCCAGTTATCAGCTTCTTCCCTCTGGGGAGAAGGCAGATGGAAGCACTTCCCTGCAGTCACTCAAGCTTCTAGCACTCACCTAACCTGCCCTGGGAACCCAAAGGAGGAATTGGAGCTGCTTTTCCTGCCCTCCCCGGGGATGGGCAGACAGGTGGCCCCCACAAGCTGAGCAGCAGGGACGGGCAGCAGCCACTTGCTCGTGTCAGAGGTAGAACTTCTGCTGTCACTACCCCAGAGCAGTGGGATACTGGCTTAGCCAAAGAGTGCAGCTCATGGACACTTGCATTTTATGAACAAATACACATTTTTCTTGCTCAGCATGATCCATCCCATGGGACAGAGATAACTTATGGGTTTTCTTAGAAGTGTGCTTTATGAAGGAAATAAGGCTTGTATGTTCACAGCATGTGTCTGTGGCTGCATCTGCCCATCTCCCATACCCCTACATAGGATTCTAGTACCTGTTGCCTGCCTTCCATCAAATCTGACAGATGGTAAAAGTCTTAAAGATGGAAAGTTATTCTGCAGGTTTC